AGGCAAAGGGTCAGCGGGCGGGCGGGCGGGGGTTATTGGGGGGGGGAGGATGGTGGGTTTAAGGAGGTCTGGGGGTGAGCACTAGGGGGTATCGGGGAGGTGAAGGGGTGGGTATGGGGGGTGGATATACGGGGGTATCAGTAGGAGGGGGTGGTTATAGGGGGGTTGAAGAGGGTGTGGGTATAAGGAGGGACAGAGGGGGTGTGAGTATAAGGTGAGGTGAAGGGGTGGGTATAAGGGGTCTGGGTTTATGGGGGGGGAGGGGAGGGGTGTGGTTATATGGGGGATTGAAGATGGTGGGAATATAAGGGGGTATCGGTATAGGGGAGGGGGTGTGGGTAGAAGGGGGATGGAGGGGTTGGGTAGAAAGGGTATTGGTATGAGGGGAGGGGGGTGTGGTTATAGGGGTGTTGAAGAGGGTGTGGGTATCACGTGAGGTGAAGGGGCTGTGGGTGTAAGGGCGTGGAGGGGGGCGGGTATCTGCTGAGGTGAACGGGTCGGTGTAAGGGAGATGGAGGGGTGGGAGTATTGGGAGGGGAGGGGATGTGGGTACTAGCTGAGGTGAAGGGGATGTGGGTGTAAGGGGGTATCACTATAAGGAGAGGTGAGCAGGAGGTGTTGATATAAGGGGGGATGGAGGAGTGAGGGCCAGAGGTATAAGGGAAGGTGAAGGGGAAAAGAGGTGTAAGGGGAGGGTAAGAGGGTGTGGTGGGGAGGTTATGTGTGGGTATATAAGGGTAGGTGAAAAGGGGTTGTGGGTATAAGGAGAGGCTGAGTGGATGGGACTTTTGTATGGATAAGTCGGGTGAGGCAGGGCCTGGTATGTGAGGGTGTGTTGGGGTGAGGGTAACTAACGTGAAGTATAATGGGGGAATCAGTGTGAGCATTAACACAGTGGAGAAGGATGTGTGGGTGGAGGTGAAAGAATGTATGATTGTCTAAGCATGTATGTAAACCTATGTAAATAGAATGTTTTTCTGGTGTTTATACATAATAAAACCTCTCTTATGCAACTCTTCTCCCCCCCCCCCCGACACACACATTATCCTTATTTAGGTTATGTATCCCTCACATACATCACTTTTATGAAAAACAAAATCTGTTATCTAACCAGATTCCATGGTACCTCTTCCATTCAGGTAAAGAGGGTTCTACCTTTTGTGTGTGCACATGCTTGCACAAATGTGTTCCTGGGCAATGGGCCAGATTCTCATCTTGGGTAAATTCTCAGAGCTCCATTGACTTCAATTTACATTAGCTGAGAATTTGGCCCAATGTAATTAACACTTTGATGAAGTGGAGAAGGAACTTGAAGCAGCCATTCTTATAAAACCAATTATTTAAAAAAAAAATTGTCTTGCTTTTTCCATTTGGAAGTTGAACTTGAGGTCAGTTCCTGTTAATTCAATAATAGTTATATCCTAGGCTCATATTGCACTCAGTCCTACAACCCTTATTTACACAACAGGCCCATGGAGTGAATTCATCTAAGAGTTGCAGTATAAGGCCCCATGTTTGATATAAACACCTTGGCCTTTGACCTCTGAGTTCATGTACCACAGAATATGGTTACTATATAATAAGCAGGAACCACTGTCAACTTATTATTATACGTGAACAGCATAAGCAAACAAAACTGGGGAAGTTGTGAGCAAATTCTAGCTTTGACTCAGACTTGCTGTGTAACCTGGAGCAAGTCACTTAACCTGCCTCTCTCTCTCACTTCCTCCATCAATAAAATGGGAATCATGAACCATACATAGCCCCCAGAGTGGTTGTGAGAATTAATTAATATTGGAAGTGCTTTGATGCTGAGAAGCACTCTATAATAACCTAGCTCTACAAAGAGCTAAGTATTATGATTATGTAAGTGCTAAATATTACCATAAACATTTTAAATGCTTAAGAAAATCAACACCGCACTTTCTTTTTATTTTTGTAAAAAAAATAAAAAAGCTGCTTAATAGATAGGATCATGTAAATTATTTTCTCACTATTTGTATTACATATTTAAGGGTCATCTTTTGGGTGTGTTTTTTTTTAAATATACATTTCCTATCTTGCACTGGGGTGTGCATAGGCAGACCCTTACAAAACCTCAAACCAAAATTCCCGATCAGGATCTAAACCTTCATGTCTATAATGATTTGCCTTAGAACCCCAACTATGAAACATTTAGAGGGCTGAAATCTGAGTGACCCTAAATTTCAGTTTATTCACATTCAGTATTTGGATTCTGTCCCTTACAATGGTAGGTTCAAGTTACAAACACCAATCCAAAGCAGATCCACTTCTAGCTAAGAGACAAATTCAGCATGATTATCTCTCATCCCCTCCTTCTTCCAGTCAACAAAAACTCTCCCCACTGCTTATCTGCTTTTAAATGCTATAAAATTAATCCAGACGTGATATCTAATTAGAATGCAGAAACGTCTTTGCCAGGCAACAACGAAGGTGTCATGCGTTTGTTGCTTTACTCCATGATCCAGTATTATTCCCCCTGAAGCAAAAGAGTTCAGTGCAGGCAGTTGTCCTACAGAGGGCAGAGGAATATCATTAATTACCATTTCCTTCAGCAGTCTAGGCAGTTTATTGCTCAGCTAAGAACTTCCAGTGAGGACTTTGGAGAACCCTGTAAAACACCATTATGAGGAAAGACTAAAAATCCCCAAATCCTACGATACTGGGACGAGCTCTCAAAATGGTTCCCAGAAAGTCCCCCTGTAAAGTATTGTGTTATATTATACACAAAGAGCAGCATATAAAATTAAAATTGTATAATATTTGTATTACATATATGACCTTTCATTCTAATGCCTATGTTTAGTATATATCAAACCCCTGGATTTTACACAATGTAGGGTTTAAATGCTTTTTTCAGCTTTGCGGGGAGGGGGGGGGAATAGAAAATAATAAAGGATGTAAATTTTGTTTTGTAAATTACATTTTGAGGCTATGAAAAGGTGGCTATAAAATGCTACATTGTATATTTCTTGTATTTGCTTTTGCTGCAACACACAATTAAGGTTCCTTACCTTATTTGTTCTTAAAACATGATATTATAAAACTGTGGACACAGACACTGTTCCCTGTGGCTGCTTGTTCTGGATTTTTTTTTAATTATTCTTAGGTTTAACGGGCATTTTGGTTCTAGAATACAAGCCCATATTAAGTAAGGGAGGAGCATGCATTTATTTAATATAAAGAAATAACATAGGTATAGAATCTATCAAAAATTAAATAGCAGAAATAGGTACTTGTATATACTCAGCCATCCAAGGGTCTACTGCCAATATATCATACAGAATTGCATTTCCAAACCCCCAGATTGTACCAATGGCAGGATGGGTGTTCGCTGCCCTAACCTCACAAATACAAAATACTCCTATCTGAAAAGGGGGGGGGGCAGCTTTTAGTGATGGTTACACAAAATGCTCCCAATCTATCATTTTATTCATGGTGAACGTACCATGAGCCAAATTCTGTTTGATTTACTCTAGTCCTATTGGGTGAAATCCTGTCCCCACTGAAGTCAATGGGATTTTTGTCCTTGACTTCAATGGGGCAGGATCTCACCTATTGAGAGGAATAGGCCTATTGTTCTGCATAAAGTCCCTGATCCAGCAAGGCATTTAAGATCATGTATAACTTCACACACATGAGTAATCCTATTGAAGCCAACAGGCCTAATTCTCTGATGCCCTGCACCTTGTGCAACCATTTACACTAGGGCAAAGTGGGTGTAGAACATTACAAAAATCAGAGTGGTAGCTTTGCCCTCACTTTGCATTGATATAAATGGCAGGACAACGTACAGGACAATGGAGAATCAGACCCACTGGGACTAGTCACATCCTTAAAGTTATTCACATGTTTGAGAGCTGTGTTGGATTGGGGCCAACGTGTGCAGCGGCTAGTCATTTAGAATCTTTGTTAAAGGTACCCCCTCAAGATAAACCAAAACCAAACAAAAAATCTCTACTATTAAAACACCATAGATTGTTAAAATATTTTAGAAATCCAATTTCCTTCTTCCAATTTATTCTGTTTGTTTCCTTTTTTGCATTTCACTCAGCTTGGATAATTAAAACAGACATAGACAGACTAGTCTGTTTCAGTTTCTGGATCACATGCCCTAAAGCCATGCTACTGCTGCTGCCGTTTAGATTCATAATCAAGCAAAACAATGTTTGTATAATAAATAAATCATAATAATAAAAATATTTTTTCATTTAATTTTTAACACAACCCTGAAAGCATTTATATTCATACTAGGTATTGTAAAGCCTTCTTTCTGTTCACAAACTGGAAACAGGAATCCCAAAACTAGTTAACATAGTTCCTTTAATATTTCCCCTTTAATGTTACTGAAGATCTAGATGCTTATTTGCTAAAATAAAAATATTGATCTAAATGGGTAACAGATGTACAAGTGTGCTGTGGGAAGAATGTACTATACAAATATCATCTCGTTTCTCTCATTCATATTT